GGCGGAGGGGCCCGGCGCTGCTGCCAGCCCCTCGGGTGGTTCCCACCGGCCGGCAACTCGGCCCTAGGGGCTGGGCGGCAGGTGTGGCCTCCCTGGCAGGGCCCCCGGGCTTTAGAATCAGCACCGCGCCCGGGCGCCGTGAGGGCTCTGGCCATTTTACTTCGGATCCGGGAGTGCTGTTCGCGTGAAGGACTGAGCCGAAGCCACGGCATCGTGAGGCGGGGCAGGCTGCCCGTGGAGGAATCGCGCCTTGACGTGGCAGAATCCCCCCAAAGAGACTGGGACAAGAATGGGACGTGCAGAGAAGACTTGCTCATGAAACAAGCCTGCCCCTCTGGGTGCCTTATGAGCTGCGCCATCTGCACACCTGGCAGTCCGAGCCCCTAGTCAGCGCTTAGGGAAACGGGCACGGGGCTGACCCCGACGGGGGAGCATAGCGGGGGGCGGGGGAGCGGAGGAGGACGGCGTCGGCGCAGGCGCTGAGCCCCGACCGCGACGGGGTGGCGGGTGCGCTTCGCAGGGTGCGGGCCATCCTCGTGGAGGGGTCAGCGCAGCGAAGGCCGCAGAGCTGGGCCTTCTGGGGCACTGCAGCGACCCCGCCGCTGGGCTGGCGCTTTGGGCAGTTGCGTGTAGAGGGACGTGGTCGGCCTCGCCCGCGTTTCGTCTACCTGCTGCGCACTGTGAGCAGTTTAAGGGCCCTGCCGAGGTGTGGGGGGGCCGCCCGGCTGACCGGCAGCCCGCAGGCGCGGCCGCGCTTTTGCCCGGGCTCGCCTCAGCTCCCCTTCCCGCCCGCACTCACCCCGCACGCGTCAGCTTTTCCTCCCGGAAGGCGGGGGCCGGCTCAGGAGACCCCCAGCCCGCTGCTGCGCAGCTCGGGCCTCCGGCTCGTCTCTGGAGCTCCGCTCTTTCAGGGGAGACCTGCCGGCGGCGGGGCTCTCTGCTCCCGCCCACAGCAACCCGGTCTCCCCTCCGCCAGCGGCTTTGCGCAGCCCCTCTCGGGGGAAGGCCGGAGGCGGCCGCACCGGCTCCTCGGTCGCCTCCGTGGTCAGCGCCCTGGGCGGCGGGTCCCTCCCGGCTGCTTGAGGAGTTCCCATGGCCTCTAGTTTTCAGTGTTCTTGTTACTTGCTTTCTTCTTGTGGATTTCTTTCTTTCTTTTAAGATGCATTTACTCACAAGAGCTGGGGCGCAGGCCAGAGGTGCGGGGGCGAGAGGACTCCCCGGAGACAGAGCGGGGAGCAGAGCAGCAGATCTCCCGAGATACGCAGCTGAGGGCGGCGGGGGACAGGAGGGGTGTGCTGCGCCCGGGGGCCCCGCCCTGGCCGGTGGGACGCGGAGCCCGGCTGCTGCGTCCGGCCAGCTGTGCCGCCAGGCGGGCCCTGCGCTCGGCCCTGTGGATGGACCTCCTTCGGGGCTAGCTGCCCCCCCGGCCGGCAGGCTGCACGTGCGGCCGTCTTCTTCCGGCGCACCAGCACCGACACTGTCCATCGGTGCCGGTTCCGTTTCCTTGGTTCGAAAGCGCCTTCCCGACACCCACACTTCTGTCCCGTCGCCTTCCTGATGTGGGGGCCCACCCATCATGTTTTATTTCAACTCCACAATTTTTGTTGTGCTGTTCAACTTCAAGTGCCTTCCTGACATGTGGCGCTTTGCCTTGAGGAGAGCCGGACTGTCCTCTGTCGGGCTGTCTCACGACGGCCGCTGCCAGCTCTTGCCAGGTGCCCCGGGCCCACCTGAGTCAGCTGCAGCAGCCACATCTGTCGGCTGTTTTCTCAGTCATGTGAAGTCTCCTGGTGCTTGGTGTGATGAGTGAGCTGCACCCCACACATGGGGGAGATGTCACCCTTGGGGCGCCCCCTCCCGAGGCACAAGGGTCCCCTGGCACCTCCCCAGCAACGTGGGCACCGACTCGATGCCGTCCGGGTGGCGGGGCAGGTGGCCGCATCCTCCCTGGGCGCCGACCACGCGGCCTCCGAGTGGGCGTGAGAGCTGGGCCCCCAGGGGACAGCTGGCAGGGGAATCGAGTGTCGACTTCCCACGGCCTCCGGCCACGTCGCTTCGGCTGGGCGGGCTGCAGGTCAGACCCGCTGGGCTCCGGGCGCAGCAGGGGACTGATGAGACCCAGCTCACGCGCCTGTGTGCGGCTGCTGTGGGCAGAGCCGGCGGCTCAGCCCCAAGCCCGTCACCGCTGCTGCAGGGCGGCCGAGCCAGTGGCTCTGTAGGACAACGCCATCCTGTCCGCTCCTGGGGCCACCGGAGCCCTGAGGGCTGGGTGGGGTGAAGTCGTCCGAGATGACCTCGCCGCTGAAGCCAGAGGGGCGGACTGTGCTTTCCGGCTGGCGCTCTGGGTGGAGGATGCTCGCCCAGAGGGATTCCGCCTTCGGTCACCTCCGGGCCGGTTCCGTGGAGCACTGTGCACTCATGTCTGCTGGAGGCTTGGGCTAAGGCGGCTGCGATGCCCTGGTGAGGTGAGCGGCGGGCGGGGAGCCCGGCCCGCCCGTGGCCCTGGCAGCCCCCAGCTCCCTGTCCCGCGTGGGCTGCTAGTGTGGCGAGGCGGGTCTTCCGCAGCAGGACGCTTGGGAGCGGGGCCTTCCGATGGAGCGTGACTCCCCCCAAGGTGCCTAGAGCCGCAAAGCCATTTAAAGACCCCGGCCCCATGCCTCCCTGTCAGGGTCACTCAGTGTCACAGGTGCAACGGCAAAGCTCAGAAGTGGGGCGGCGCTGAGCGCAGAGCTGAGCCCAGCGCCCTCTCCAGGCTCCCAGCTGGGCTCTGCCCACCCCTCCGGACGCAAGGCGACCCTGTCACCGAGCAAAACAGCACCAACCAGAATAGTCAGGATGAAGCTTTATTTTCCTGCTCACGGCACGGCCGTTCTGCGGAGCTGCTTCTGCGGCGGCGGGGGAGCCGCGGCGCCGTGTGCTGGCGGTGCC